ATTGAAAAAATAAAAAATCGTGTTTCACACGTATCATCATGCTATCGTTGAGACATTCGATCAATTTTGTCTTGCGAAATAGATCCAAGGATGAGTATCGGTTTCAACAGAAATCATTTTCGAATTCCAATTATACAAAAGCATACACATAATGAAGAGAAGTCATTTCTATAGGGTTAGAGCACAATGAAACTTGTGATTTCTCAGAAAAGTACACGAAACACTTGTTCGGTAAATACTACTCTTGTCATTCAATAGAAATGAAATAAATAATTAGATACTATACGTAGTAGATCGGCTTTGAAAAGTATTTTAACAACGTATATAAAAGCTGAATATTGAGCATGCAATAGAACAGTGTTGATTTTGAGGAAGTACGTGAATGTGCGTCTCATATTCAGCAAATTTGACATCCACACACCACACACATCCACCTCTACACCTTGAATTCTCGATTCTTTCACATAATATTTTCACTTTACGACTAGGGATGAACCGTTTTTATATTGAAATTTGTCTAACTATTTTTTAAAGTTGTAGTTGCGATTGAGTCTTACTTTTAATGCATGATGTGTTGCTCATTGCTCAGAATAAAATTAAAATACTACTTTCTTTATAACGTTTATCTTATAATATATTCAATTGTTTGCTTGTGCTCATCGAACCATAACAGCCCTTCCTTTTTGTGACTAAAATCATTGATTGTCTCAGATAAACATGTGTGTGTTAACCAAGCATGAAGCTGCTTCCTACTAAAACATCTCAATACTTGAGAAAAAACCTGGACAAGAGAAAGTACGTCTGGGGATGTGGATGTAGAGTGTGAGCGAGTTGTAAGTGTCGGTGTGAGTCACATGGAAAACAAAACCGTACCCATACCCACACCCACACTCCACTTTGACACTCACGTCACTTCTCATATAGAAAGGTTTCCGTGTGTGTTTCGAAAGTTTCAACAAAAACTATATGAATTTTCTAGCAAATGCTATGATCTCGAATTCGGAAAGACTATTGACTGAGGTTGTTTTCATGAACAATTCCAGTCTAACCTTGTTTCAAAAATTGACGACCTAAATATGTCATTCTATAATTAGAATTGAACCATGCATCGTCACGTGGCCCTGCAGTTTCTCTAGATAAGCTTGTTAGCGCAGACTGTTTGAGGCTGAAATGTGGAACCCATATGTCTTATGTAGCTTTATTATACTAATACAAAATACTCAAAGTGTAAAATCTGTAAAATATCATATTTCTTTTCCAACAGTAATCAATTGCCACCAAACACTGTCTTTTCTATTTCTACATTTTGAACAGAAGTTTTGTTTTATTATTTTTTTAACGAACGCCTTTTTTACTTGTGTTGTTGTATTTGCATGGTATTGATTTCCTTTCTTTTTAATAAAGTTTCATACATTAGTATTATTGATCTAGCCACTCATTTGATGGACAAATAAGCCTATTGGTATACATTCATTATATCTACAGAAGATCTTAATAATCTATTATGTATCTCGATAAACTCAGGAAGACTAAAACTAATTATTCCTGAGAAATAGAATTTAATCAGTTCATGTTTTTCTATTACTTATGTGAAAGTTGTGGGAAATCTAAACATCATTCTTTATATCTAATATACAATTGTTTATCTGCATAGAAATCACAAACTTCTTTATTTACAAAGTTGAAAAATGTTTTCCAGCCACTTATATTTCAAGGAAGATGTTTTGAAACCTTCTGAGCCTTATTATTCATGTCGTTCAGCGCCTTTGATTCCGGTTGCTAAGTTCTGTAAAAGGGGCGTGGATGTGAACATGGAATATGTATGATAAGAAGACTAATACTCCATATCCTACGTCATCATGTTCAATACATGCAATTTTCATCATTAATTGAAAATTTTTTTTATTATAATGATTAAGAACAAAAATTTGATCCACAAGATAATCAAATCAGATGAAAAGAACACGACCGGTTTAGATGGTTTTATTTTGCCGTTTGCTAAACACACTATTACGAACGTATTTTACTGTATTGTAACCGATTGGATACTCGATTTTCAGACCGTTATCAACTGTGTGCGACAACCAAACATAAACTAACAGTTATTAGACGATCTCAAATTCTCTGAAAGCACAGTATATTGTGTATCGGTTTTGATCATCTGGGCGATTAGAATCGCCATCTTAATAAAGGAAATTGTTGTATTAGTTACTTGAAAAGAAAAGAATGATGATTTATTAATATCGAACAGAAAAGATTGTAAACGCTTGTATATGGAGAAAGAAGACGCTTGTTTAATATCTCCATATCTGGAAGTTGTATATGATCGCGATTTGTCTCCATATATGATAGTAATGTTCTGTATAGAGTTGCATAGAGATACGATCGGAGTACAGTAAAAATGCGTATTCCATATTCATCAGTTTGGAAAGAAAAAGATAAACTAGTTTCTATGAATACAAATTAAATTACTTAAAATGACAAAGAATGTTTAATTTCTCATGAATTTGTTTAGAGTCTTGGAAATGACTTCTTTGGAATTTTTTCTTTAAGTAAAAATTCGAATGCATTGCATTCTATAAAACTACATGAACTTTTGATGATCATCCAAAATCTATAATATCTTTTAAGTTTCTATACATAAAAATTTCACTTGTCTAGTTATTTAATTCATTAAATAAGAGATTTCTTATATTTCACACTGAATAATAGATACCAATGAAAATTTTGAATAATAAATTTTATCTGTCACTAAAATTACTCAAAATTATTTTCAAAAAATCATGATATGCGAACTATGTAGTCATTATAATGAATATCATTGTTGGATATTGACTAATAACAAAAATATTTGTTTTCTATTAAGTTTTGAATATTGGCTTACAGGCGTAAATATAATATTTATCTCGATGAATTTAGAAATGAATATTGACGTTCAAATCAATTAGTTTAGGTCTTCTTTGTTATTAACTTAAATAGATCTAACGATTATCGTAACAGTTGATGTTTGAAACATTGCATTTGTAGAATCATCCTTCAAAGATATTTTCTCTAACCGAATATATTCCAATAAAAAGAAATTCAAAGATATAAACTCTATTAATCTTTAAATTCCTGAGACAGATTCATGTGTGCTAAACCATTGATCATCATAATTCTCGATTAGACAGAAAACAATTGTTTTAAAACAATGTACTAATACCTCATATTGCTAGTAAATCACTTTTTTTAGTAATTCTTTTTTATATATAAAATCAGATAAAAGCGTTTTGAAGCATATCAAAGTTATTTTGTTAACCAATCGTTGAAGTATCCATAAAATGACTCAAAATTCAGTTTTCTTGATATTACACATCAAACAGAAAGTTTTACTAAGTTTATTGAATTTGAATAGCGTGTAAGAAAATGAGGCTATCAAAAACTATGATTGCATAATGTATTTTCACATATTTTTCTATATTTCAATTAGAGGTGATAATTTTGAAAATTGCTCGTACAAATAAAAACAACATTTCGGAATGTACTTTTGGAACATGTTGTATTGTCAAGATGTGCCATGTAAGAGAACATTTGATGCAAAAGAAAGATCTTTAAATATCTGGAGACAACTGAAATTATTTGCTGTTTTATAACTTACATAGATAAATAACATTTTCAAAATATTTTCTTAATATCTATAAATGATTATATTAATTTTAATATAGATCTCTTTGTGATATTCATCGTATTCTTTATGTAAAATGTCAATATAAGACAGATTGATTCATTGATTGTACATAGCTGTCATTGAGAAGAGATAATCCAGGACTTCAGTTATTTACAGACGATTGCAGAATAACTTATAGATAAATATGATAATTAACGATGAAGTATCATTTTTATTTAGATGCAAATTGGGGGAAAAACCAATAAAAATGAACTATTCTAGTGGCTTTATTGGTTTGAACTACAAGTACCAGATTAGGGCATTCGTATTAAATTTATTCTTAATGCATTGGTATTGTTGACATGAGAGTTTATGCTAGAAAGTTGCCAATAAAAGAACAAAGTTTTTGTATCCGAAAATGTCATTATCAGAATGGAACAAAATCGTGCGGTTTTGGGAACTTCTTGGCTTAGTGTGTGCTCAAGATCTACGTAGTTCCATGTTGTATATATATTAGAGTTTCAAAAAAAAATGCTAATCTAATGATAATGCAACTAACACCAAAAGCATTAAGATGAACTTCAATCCTAATGTGACATCTTGAGTTTTAACTGAAGTGAATACTTATGATAAAAATCAATTATCCTCTAATTGAACGCAATTCAAAATTTTCTTGCTCGTAGCATTTTTCAACAATGTACCCTTTTTGTTTTTTTATATGTTACTTTTTGAGCTAAACTAAATAATTATAGAATTTTTGAATTCAACAATTACTTAAAGATCATTAGAAATAAATCTAATGGTTAAACTCAATTTAAATTCATTAAAGCCTGACTTATGAATATTGTCTTAATTTGAGAGAATACAAAAAAACAACAACAAAGGATTATAAAAGCAAAAACTAAAAAAAAAATATAAACGTGGTCCATATGAAGATCGAACTAAAAGACTTTCACGATATTAGAGTACAACTCAATTAACTATTACGATGTTTAAATTATTTCACTAAAAAAAGCAACTAAACTCAAACTAATATCATAATATTTGAATAAATCGTCAAAACATTCTAATCAGTAGAGTTAAACAACATGATTGGTTTCAATCTTTATGTTAATAATCAGTGTTTACAGTAGCCTCAAGATTCATAAAGAGTTATTTTTCTTACAACTACATAATACTTTCAATATCTTTATTTATATATTTATATATAATATACAAATCACTCTTTTAAAACAAAAAGTATTCACAAAATGAAAATGGCAAGACTGTAAAAACACTATCTGACATAAAATTATATACATTAAAAAAAAATACAATGACTTTTCATTTATATAAATATATATGACAATGTATCTTAACAATTAATAATCCATGGACATGTTTCCATTAAAAGAATATATTTAACAGCTTCCCAAACATCAAGTTTAATTGTTGTTGGTAATTTCCATGGATTTTTACCATTAATCTTTTGTTTATTTGGTTCATAAACACCTGTACACACTAAAATTGATTCACATAATTTTGCACTTAAATATTTCGAATCAGGTAATAAACTATAACCACTAATACTTGTTCTTGAATTCATCGTTTGTTGTAATAAATGATTATACATATTTGCACCAACAATATCAACATCTGGATTATCTCCAATAAAATAAATTTTTTCAATTTTTGATTGACCATTATCTAATGCTATTTGATTAGCTATTGTTTCAGCATATTGATATGAAATTTCAAATGGTTTACCAACAAATGCTGTATATTTAAGATCATTTCCACTTATATTCTAAATAGAAATGAAAAATAAAAGTTCATAGAATATTGTCTATTGATGAAAAAATTATTTACTTTATATAATGTTTCTAAACATGTAAGAAAAGCACCATGACCAAAACGTGGTAAATCTGCAGCAGCTTTAAATACAAGATCTCTATTGCAAGCAATAATAGGTATATGATCATGTTTAGTATTTGAATCATCTGGTACAATAGAAGGATTACCATCAGTTAAAAGAAGATCAATAATAACTTGTAATGATCTTTCCCATTGAATGGGTTCACCAAGTAAAACGACAGCTTAAAAGAACGACAAAAAAAGAAATAAAACATTGATAAGAAAAATAAAATGAGTATCCTACCATCAATAGGACGAAAATTCTCATCATGAATAAGACCTTGAGTACTAATCATTTCACTCTAAAATATCCATGAAATACAAAAATAAATAGAAATTTGTTGTTTTTTTTTTTTGTTACTTACTAATCTAACCCGATTCATGTGATCAACCAT